CCTACCCGCCCCCAAGCCACCAACCCCCAGAGCCCCGAGGGTGGGAGACCTAGGGAGGAGGGATGTCTCCACCCTGCCCCGGCCCGCTTCGTCCATCCGTCGGTCTGTCCGCTCCCGCCCCCTTCCACCGTCTCCAATCCCCCCACACTCTGGAGGGCGGGCGGGCAGGCGGGTGCGAGCGAGGGGTGTGCGCCGCTCTCTCCGCAGGGGGCGGGGGAGGCGGCCGCGCGGTGACGCGCGGGGCTGCTGCGGCTGCTCCGCCGGCGGATCATCACTCTCGGGCTGGGATGGACGCGGGGCGGGTGGGCCCTGGCGCGCGGAGCCAGGAGTCCGGGCCTCCTGGCTTCTGAGCGTCCCCCGAAGCCTCCCCCCTACCCCCGCTTCCCCTCCTAGGAGCCCTGCCGACCCCCACCCCGGGGCTCCAGCCTCGGCTCCCGCCCTCCTCTGACTCCCTGGACCTCCCCCTCCCTCCCGCCCTCGGGATCGACTAGATCCCTCCCCCTCCCCGAGGATTCCGGCTGGATCCCTGCCCCTGCACCGCGGATCCTGCGCTCCCGGGCTCCGGGCCCCTGGGGATTGCCGTGGACACCTCCTCCCGCACCCGATCCCTTAGGATCTTCCGCCGGTACCACCTTCTGGTCCCTCGAAGCCAGCCCACGGAGCCAGTGGATTCCCAATCCAGTCCTTTCTCGTTGCCCCCTCTTCGCTCCGCCGGCCCCACTGCGGGGTTCCCTGTTCTCAGGTTCCTCCTGACCCCATCCCCTACCTCTCCTTTCCCCGGGGATCGACTGGGTCCCGGCCCCGCCCCCCGGGGCTGGGGCGATCCCCCTCCCCCGCCCGGTGAGGCGCTGCGGGCGGGGGCTGGGCCTGCGGGGCCGCGGGGGCTCAGAGGCCGCCGCCCCCCTCCCGAAGCCCGTCCGCCCCCTACTCGGAGCCCTGGATGGAGGCACCACGGCCCCAGGGCTGAGCCAGGTAGGAGCTAAGCCGGGCCGGGTGGAGGGGGGTGCGTGGCGGTCCACTGGGGTCTCCTTTTCCCCATCTTTCTCCCTGCGCCTGGTTTCCCCCCAGGCTGCTCTGTCTGCGTGTCTCCGCCTAGGGATGCTCTCGCCGTGTCTCTGCGTCTCGGTCTCTTTGTCTCTGCCTCTCTCCAGCCCATGAATGATCCTTTGAATGGGCCCACAGACCCCGTGTGTTCCCATCTCCCCCTCCCCCTCCTTCTCCCCTTCCCGGCCAAGCCATTTTCCCCACTGCAGGAAGGGGGGGGGACCTGCGGCCTGAGCCCCCCTCCCTCAATTCTCCCCGGCTGGGGGAGTCAGGCCCGGGCAGGAATGGAGAGAGCAAGGCAGAGGGATAGGGAGAAGGAGGGGGAGCAAGATGTGGCAGACAGAGATGGGGAGAGAAAATGGGGGAGACAGAGGTAGGAAAGAGGGGAGAGGGAGAGAGAGAGAGAGAAGGGGCTTAAGGGAGAAACGTGGGGAAGAGGTTTGAAGGAGAGAGAGAGATGAGAAACGGGCAAGGAGGGAGATGTAGAGGAGAGAGATGGAAAAGGACTGAAGGCAGAAGCCGGAGCAAGCTGGAAGAGGCCGGGGAAAGATGCTCTGAGGGAGCGCTATGGAGGGGAGAGAGATGGGGGGAGGGCTCCAGTGGGAGGGAAGAAGGGAAAGAAGCTGGCAGCCAGGAGGCCAGGGACCCAAAGTACCTTAAGTGGGGGGGGGGGCAGAGTCAGACCGTGTTAGTAGGAGGGGGAGGGGGTGGTGGGACTATGGAAGCAGAACCCAGCCCTGCACAGACAGAGGAGATCCTGAGGGAGCCAGCCCCAAGCCTGCTGATGGGGGGACAGGAGCTTAAGAGGACCTGAGGAGGGGGAAGGCATGACTGGGTGTGTGTGGTAAGGATTCCTGTGTCCTCATCTCTGGAATAAATTGACACCTGCAGAGAGGCACCCGCGGGCTGGCGCCTGGCTCTGAAAACCCCGCGTCAGCAAACAGCTCTGGCGGCTGGGGGGGGGGGACGGGGGGGCTTGCCAAAATGACCTGGGTGTCTGCCCCTTCGGTCTGATCTTGTCTCTTGTCCTGCCCCTGCTGTCCTGAGCATCCAGGCTTCAGAGCAGCAACTGTGGGGCGGGGGGGCTGGCAAGGGAAAGGGGAGGTAAATAGCTGGGATGGGACGAGAAGAAAGCCGAGGTTTAACCCCCAGGACATGGGTCAGAATGCCATGCATGGAAGAGGCATCTGGGGTCCAAGGCTGTTGGAGACTGTGGGAGGGGGGCGGTCTGTGGCCGCATCTGATGCCCTCCAAACCCACCTCAGCATCCCTTCTCCTCAGCCAGAGGCCTGGTCACTAGGGCTAGGCTCTGATTGGCCAACAAGGGGCAAGAGGCGGATCTTTTAGGGTTCTCTATGCCCCAATCTCCCGCTCCCCTCAACATATACACTTCTTTCTCTATGCTAAGGTTGGGGGAAACTCTAGCATTCTGACTCACGCCTCTGCCCTCCTGCCCTGAATGTACCCCATAACCAAGCCAGCCCCTTCCTCTCTTCCTCCAGACCCCCTCCAGGGTTAAAGCTGCAGCCAGTTGCCGAGGTAACATTGCGGGGCAGCATCCCGTCGCCCAGCAACCGGCTGCAGGATCACGCATCTGTCCCGGATTTGCCCCTCCAGCAGCATCCCCTCCCTACTCCAGCCCCTGCCTCAAGGCACCTTAACTTCTGATGGAAGAAATGAGGAAGACCTAGGGGAAAGGGGTCCCCCCTCCCCTGCTGCACAGATCCGTAGGGAATGGGCTGCTGAAGGGAGGAAAAGGTGCTGGGATTGTGTGGTCCCAAGAAAGGCCCCCGTCTGGCCTGGGGTGGGGGTTCAGTGCCATGAAATTACAGCTCAGGAGTAATTAACACGTATAAACAAACCCGCCACTTCCTGCTAATTAATGACTTGGTATTTTTATTTTCTCTTCCTTGTCTATCTCATCCCTCCCAGGGAGATGGGAACTGGGACTCCTGAGTCCCTGAGGAGAGCCTGCCTGGGAGGGATAAAGCAGCTGGAAGGGTGGGGGGCATGCTGGGTCTAGGGAGCTGGCCCTCCTTCTCCTCTGGCTCTGTCCTGGGCGTATACCACGTCCTGACCCTATCCCTAGCCTTAGACTTTTCTATCTGGGTCCCTGCTTTGGGGATGGGGTTGCTGGGGTTGGGAGTGGGGGGAGGTGCCAGGGGGCCTGAGGGCGGAAGAAAGGGGGGGCAACTTGGTCTGAATTCCAAGTCACTAACCACTTGTCTCTTGTTTCCCTGTTCCCTTCTGTCTGCCCTGTTCAATTTCCCTTCCCTTCTTCCACTTCTCTGTATTTTTCTGTCTGTCTGTCTGTCTGTCTCTTGCCTACCCCGTGCCTCCTCCCTGCAGGTCGGGCCTGCCTTCACCTTCTCCCGCTTCCTTCCCCTTCCCCACCCCTTGCCCCCTCCATGGAGAGGAACAGACCCCTTCTCGGTCCAGTCTAACCCAGGTCCCTCCCCACCCCCCTCCTCCCTCCTTTCCCCCGCCCCCTCCTCCCTACTGGGGCGAGGGGGGGCCTCCCTCCCTCTCCCCCCCCTTCTCTCTCTCTCCGAGGGGGGGGGTCCCGGGGAGGGAGGGGGGGTCCCCCGATCAGCATGTGGCTCCTGGCGCTGTGTCTGGTGGGGCTGGCAGGGGCTCAACGGGGGGGAGGGGGTCCCGGCGGCGGCGGCTCCCCGGGCGGCCCGGGCCTGGGCCTCAGCAGCCTCGGGGAGGAGCGCTTCCCGGTGGTGAACACGGCCTACGGGCGAGTGCGCGGCGTGCGGCGCGAGCTCAACAACGAGATCCTGGGCCCCGTCGTGCAGTTTTTGGGCGTGCCCTACGCCACGCCACCCCTGGGCGCCCGCCGCTTCCAGCCGCCCGAGGCCCCCGCCTCGTGGCCCGGCGTGCGCAACGCCACGACCCTGCCGCCCGCCTGCCCGCAGAACCTGCACGGGGCGCTGCCCGCCATCATGCTGCCCGTGTGGTTCACCGACAACTTGGAGGCGGCCGCCGCCTACGTGCAGAACCAGAGCGAGGACTGCCTGTATCTCAACCTCTACGTGCCCACCGAGGACGGTAAGGGCGCGGGCACCAGGCTGGGCACCCCGCGGACGCCGCCCCCTCGCGCACGCAGACCCCCGGGCTCCCCCCCTTCCCCGCCGCCGGGAGCTGGGCCTCTGTGGGGGCCGCCAGAGGCCGCGTGGCCCTGCGGGCTCTGCGTGCCCCCCGAGGGTGAGACGGGGGCCTGCCAGGCAGCCGCCCCAGAAGGTCCTTGTGCCCGCAGAGCGCGCAGCAGGCACCAAGCTGGGCTGATAGACCCCAGCCCTGCAAGGCACACGCTCAGTGGCCAAGGGGGGCCAGCGGGCCCTGGAAGCATCTCCCCCGCCCCCAGCCACCCACCCCAGCGCCGGCCCGCCTCCCACCCCCAGGCCCCCGCTTCTCCCTGAGAAGTACCCACTTTGGTTCCTTCTACACCTCAGACGCAACAGAGACACCTCGTTTTTCCTCCCCGGGTGCACGGGGCACACTTGCGTCCATCACATCGCATCCCCAGCGTCTTCTTCCGAAACCTCTGTCCCCTGACCCCTGACACACCCCTGAAGGATCAGGGAGGGCCCCTCCTTCACAGCACAGCGCGCCCATCCCCTTGAGGACATCTTTCCCTCGGGGCTCCCTGACCCCTGGGCCGGTTCTCCTGGCGAAGGAGCTGTCCAGTTCCCCCCGGCAGTGCTCCCAGCCCCTCCCAGCACACTGCCCTGGAAAGTTCTGCGCGAGCCAACCTTCAGCGCACAGAGTATCTTTCAGAGGACCTTCCACCTGTCTCCAGCAGAGGCACTCAGCAGAACTTCAGCCGGCCCCCAAGCCCAGCCTCATGAACCGCCCCGTGTTAGCCTTCTGCCACTCCACAGAGGCCCCCTACTCCCTCAGCAGCCCCCAGCAGGCCGTTTTCCTCCAACTGTACCCACGGGCCTGGTACCCAGGAACCCCTGTATGGACACCGTAGGCACCAGCTACCCGCAGGTCAGGTGCCCACGCGCCACGACACCCCGGGACTCGCAGCTCCTCAGCACACGGGCTCAGGTACCCCGCCAACCTGCACGCTGACCACGTGCTCCAACGTCCCACGTATCCAAATTCTCAGGGCCCTCACACAGCACACACAGCACACACCCCAACGCCTCTCGGAAACTGTGTACCCTATCGCCCACATAGACCCATGCTCCCCAGTATCCCCAGTTATAGATCATGTGTCTTAGTAACACCCATACAGAGACCTTGGCCTCAATAACCCTGCACGTGGCCACTCACACCACAGTCCCCAACACCCTCCACACGTCCCAAGCTTTGCTTACCCCAACTCTACCTACAGACCACCCGTATCTTAGCTCGGGCTGGGACAGCACACCCAGCAAGTCTACGCCCTACCCGCAGATCAAGCACTCAAACCCCTCACTTCCAGCACCTTGGGCCAACCATCCACCCTCTGTTCTTCCTCCCAGCCGCGCACCCCAACACAGTAATACCCCTCCCATGGAAACCTTGCCTCCTAGCAACCCATGCCCACAATGCACGCAAGTATCATCCACTCCAGTCCCATCCAGATCCCAAGCACCCTAATAGACTCTACCCCAGTACACTCTATGTGCCGCCACACACTCCACGGGAGAGCCACCCCCTCCGCATCCCCCTGCTCTCTCGTGGGCCACCTACCCCAGCAGCCTGCCCTTCACAGTGGCCTCTGAATCATTCGCCCCGGGACCTCCACACAGCCTGTCCATCTCCATGCTCTCCACTCACAGCCTCTCCGCCCCACTCCCGCCTCCTTGTAGGCTGTCCACACCAGTGTCCCCCTCGGTGGGCTATCTCCTCACCCCTCATGTGGAATATCCACCCAAGACTTACCACCAATGGGCTGTCCACCCCAACGCCTCCACACACAATGTCCACCCTGCCCCCCACACCACCTAGGCCCACACCTTCTGTATTTTTAACCATCGCTTATCACAGACCTGCTTGGGGCCTGACACATTCAGGTGATCTCACTGAATCTTCACACCAGCTCTGCAAGGAAGATGTTGACTCAGGCAGGTGCGCGTGCACACACACACACACACACACACACACTATTCTCACGCTCACGCATGCCCTGCTGACTTCATCCCCATTCCCATCCTTTTGTAGAGAACAGACCCCAATCCTAATGGGTCCCTATGGGGCAATCATCACCAGTTGGGAGAAGCCTTCAGAGGCTGGCCTGGACCTTGCCCACCCATCCGTCCCCATGCCAATGAGGAGAAACCAATCAACGGGGGAATCCCCTCTGATTTCTGGCTTCCAGCTCCCCCCCCAACCGATTCCCCCTTCTGAAAGGAGCCTGGAACCAAACTCTGAGCCCAGTCTGGGGCCCTTCCTTGACCAGGGGAACACTTCGTGCCTCCCAGCACCTCCTGGCCCCTTATGTGTCAGGCTGGCTCAGGGCATTGTGTTTCCTGTTCCCTATTTGTGGACTGAACCCCGAATTGGGGAGGGGGGCTTTCTGGCATCAGAGCAGCGTCGGGCAGGGCGGGGGAGGGGGGGAGGTGCTCATGTCCCCGGTGGGCAGTTGACCGTTCTTGGTGGGGGGAGAGTAGGCCTGGGTGAGGGAGGAGGTTGGGGGGTGCAGAGGGAAGAGGTGAAATGGAGGGCAAGACCTGATGACCCCTTTCCCTGCTTCGCCCCACATCGGGGAGGTGGGGTGAGAAGCCAGGCCCCTGAGTGCAGATGGAAGAGGAATGCTGGCCGGGTGAGAGGCTGGGCAGGCGAGCAGGCGGCCCTAGCTGACCTGGCCCCAGCCCTCCAGTGGGGAGCTGAGGGCTTGAAGGGCCTGTGAGCTGCAGGGGCGGGCGGCCCCCAACCCCATCCTATGCTCTGCCCTCCAGATCCTCCAGATGGGTCCTTTCTGCTGCAGCCCCTCCCTCGCAGCCTGGGGGAACAGGCAGGTGCCGGGCTGGCCCCGCAGAGGGCCTTGTGTGAGTGGCACAGCTGGCTTTGGCCTCTGGGGCTTGGGGATGGGCCTCCCCTCCCCACCCCGACCCCCACCTCTAACACCGTTTCGTTTCCAGCCATTAGCAAACACTGCGACAAGCCAAGTCAATATGTCTTAAAACAGGCCTCAGCCCACTCAGGCACCCCACCCCCCCAAACCCAACCTTTTCTTTGGGGCATGACTTTTTCCGGGGAGGGGAAACAAATTTGGGTTGTAGAAAACGTTTTTCTCTTTTCTTGGTTTCTTTTTCTTGCAAACAAATTTTGCTTTTTTTGGCTTATTTTTTCTGCCCTCCACCCTCCCCTTTTCTGCTTTCTGCCCTCCCCTCCCCATCCACCACCTCCCCCCGACCCCCATCTTTCCCCACAAAATTGTCCTTTTTTCTCTGTTTTGTGTTCCCGGTCTTAGGTCCGCTCACAAAAAAACGTGACGAGGCGACGCTCAATCCGCCAGACACAGGTAGATTTAAAAATCCCGCTGCTGCATGTGGTTGCTGATTAGAGGACGCTCAAGGCCCTGCCCCTAACTAAATGCCCCCCCCCAGCCCTCAAGGCCCCTCAGTCGTTTCTCCCAACTAAAAACGAAAAAAAAAAAAAAGAAAAGAAAAATTTGTAATAATTGGAAAAAAGAATTATGAAAACTTCAAACGAAATTTGAACAATGTTGGACCCACTAGCAAACCTGCAAGCAAAGCTAAACACGGCCAAAAATATAAGTGAAAAAAGAAATTGGAATGTCAGAGAAAACAAAACAAAACCACCAAAGAATTGGATAAAATGTTTAGAGTTCGACAGCAATTTGGACTGTTTGGAAACTTGCGAAATGTAACATTTGAAAACAAAACAAAACAAAACCAACTTTAATTTGGAGCAAAACTACAATTTGAAAAAAAAAATTTTAAGTTGGCAAATTGATGGCACAATTGAAACGTCAGAAACAAACCTCCAATTTTCAAAAGCCTGTCAGATGCAGAAAATGCAGACATTTGAAGCGAATTAAAGAATTTGGAAATTTTTGAAAACAGGGCCCAATATCTTGAAGTTTCACCACAAAATTTTGAAAAAAAAATGCAAAGAACTTTTTTTCTTTTTTTCTTTTTTTTCCAAAAAAACGGATCTTTTTGGTTTTTTGTTTTTGGATTTTTGTTGTTGTTGTTGTTTTTTTTTTTCTTTTCTTGTTGAATCTGCCCCCCCGAGAGCTTCTTGCTTTTTGGTTGTTGTTTTTTCTTTCTTTCTTCTTTCTTGATCCTGTTTTTTTGTTGTTGGTTTTGAATTTCTTGTTGCCCCAGCCCCCCTTCCTGCTCCTTCCCTTTCGGACCCACTCCTCCCCCAACACTGGGAGTGGAGGTGCCGGGTGGGGAGGAGGGGGAGAACTGAGGACTTGAAGAGAGGGCCTTGCAGGGAGGAGACTCTGGCCTGAGTCTGGCTGGAAGGCCACCGGAGGTTCCAGAAGGAGGAGAAGAGCAGGATTTGGAGAGGACATGGAGAGGGCAGAGCCTACCAGGTGGAGGGAGGTGGCAGAGAAGGTCTTAAGAGACTGGACGCCGCAAGCTGTCCGGAGGGGTGGAGGGGAATGTCTCAGTGTCCTGTGGGCTCACCTCCCGGCAGGAGAAAAGTTTCTAGCAGGAGGACGGAGGCGAGCAGAGCCGCTGGGGACTGGCTGTGGAGGCCCAGGTCTGGCTCTGGTTTGTTGAATGCCCAGGCTAGTCAGAGATTGCAAGTGTCAAGAGAGAGGAGGGCCTGTGGGCCATGGGGGACCCCAGCTGGGCACTGTGGCTGAATCATGGAGGGCTGCAAGGAAGGGTACTGGCCAGATAGCCTTGGGGACCGTGGCAAGCCCTCTCAGACTCCCACCCTCTTCTGGAGTCTGTCACGCCTCAGCCTGGTCACGTGGCAGTGATTAATGGGATTCTTTGGGGACAGGGCAAGAGGGGCGTCCAGTGCAGAACCCAGGGTCAGGCCAGTGGCGGGGCGGGGGGCGTCTGAGACTAAAGAGCTGTACCCTGGCTTTATCAAACAGGCTCTTTCCCACCCTGCCTCCTCCTGCCACGGTAATTAGGCTGGGGGTTGCCATGGTAACTGGGGAGGTGACCTAGAAAGGAATTAGGGCGGGGAGGAGACCAGGCCCCCGGGGACCCTAGGCTGGCACCCCCTCACCCACAGACCAGGCTACCACGTGGACCTGAGACCCAAGGCCCGAGTCTGAGCAACCGCCCGGACCCTCCCAGCATCTCTAGCGCTAGAGCCCGCCTTGGGAGTTTGCTCTGCCTCAGAGCAGGAAGGAGATTTGCCGTGTGTGTGTGTGTGTGTGTGTGTGTGTGTGTGTGTGTGTGTGTGTGGGGAGGGGGTCCCCTGGATCCAGCAGATGCCCTGGGGAGGGTCCCCCCCCCTCCTCTTAGGCTTCTTGGAAGGCCTGTCTGGCATTTGGAGAAGTGCCGCGGGGCAGGCCGGCAGGAGGTGGGGTGGGACCTTCGGCCAGGGCTCCCTGGGGAGGGAGGGAGGGGAATCCGGTCTTGCCCCCCCAGGGACGGGAGAGACATGTCCCCTGAGCTCCGGGCTGGTCCTCCGCAGGCCTGGGAGCTGGGCGGTGCTGCTGTTGGTCTGACTGTGTTCTTGTCCCCCAACCCTGGCCCACCGCCCACCCCCTCCCCACGCAGATATCCGGGACTCTGGGAAGAAGCCGGTGATGCTCTTTCTGCACGGCGGCTCCTACATGGAGGGCACCGGGAATATGTTCGATGGCTCCGTGCTGGCCGCCTATGGCAACGTCATCGTGGCCACGCTCAACTACCGGCTGGGGGTGCTCGGTGAGGGTGGGCAGCCAACTCGAGGGGCTGGGGTCTGGGCAGGGGGGCAGAGGGGGGAGCCCGGTGGGCGGCGTTCCTCTAGACCCGGCAGAAACAGAATGGCCTCTGCGCTGGACTGAGCTGCCCAGAAAGGGGGCGAGGGTGCTCAGACACCCCCAGGAAGCCCCTTTCCTCCTGTGCTTCCAGGCTTTCTCAGCACCGGGGATCAGGCTGCAAAAGGCAACTATGGACTCCTGGACCAGATCCAGGCCCTGCGCTGGCTCAGTGAGAACATTGCCCACTTTGGGGGTGACCCCGAGCGCATCACCATCTTTGGATCGGGGGCCGGGGCCTCCTGCGTCAACCTTCTGATCCTCTCTCACCATTCGGAAGGTACCGGCCAGCCCTCGGCCTGCCCCTCCCGGCCCCGTTCCCACACGCTGACCCCCACCGGGTTCCCCCCCATCCCCCGCCTTCCCACCCTGGGCGCAGACAGCCCAGCCTGAAGCCCGCGCCTGTCCTGCCAGGGTTGTTCCAGAAGGCCATCGCCCAGAGCGGCACGGCCATCTCCAGCTGGTCGGTCAACTACCAGCCGCTCAAATACACGCGGCTGCTGGCCGCCAAAGTGGGCTGCGACCGGGAGGACAGCGCCGAGGCCGTGGAGTGCCTGCGCCGGAAGCCCTCCCGGGAGCTGGTGGACCAGGACGTGCAGCCCGCCCGGTATGGGGGTGGGGGAGGGCTGGGGCCCGGCGGCTGCTCTCCTTGCTGCTTCCGAGATGTTCAGACAGGGATAACTAACCATCATAGGCTTCCTTGCTGCTTCCAAGGCGGTTTAGGGTGAGAGGTGCCCGCGGGCACTCTGTCCGGCTGCAGGCCCCTCTGCTGGCCCTGCCTCCTTCCCTCGGGAGCCTGCCCTACGTGGAGGCGCCCAAACAGAGCGAGGGTGCACAAGGGGCCACGAAGCGCATCGGGGAAGACTTCCCGAGAGGCCAAGTGCCCTGCAGGCCTCAGGAGATTTGACCCAGGGGAGAAGGAAGGGTCTTCTGAGCAGAGGGCCCGGCAGGCTAGGAGCTGAGAGGAGGCCAGGGAGCAGGTGATGAGACCCCGACCCCTTCTCCCCAGCTACCACATCGCCTTCGGGCCCGTGGTGGACGGTGACGTCGTCCCCGATGACCCTGAGATCCTCATGCAGCAGGGCGAATTCCTCAACTATGACATGCTCATTGGCGTCAACCAAGGAGAAGGCCTCAAGTTCGTGGAGGACTCCGCAGAGAGCGAGGACGGCGTGTCCGCCAGCGCTTTTGACTTCACCGTCTCCAACTTTGTGGACAACCTGTACGGCTACCCGGAGGGCAAGGACGTGCTTCGGGAGACCATCAAGTTTATGTACACCGACTGGGCCGACCGGGACAATGGCGAAATGCGGAGAAAGACTCTGCTGGCGCTCTTTACAGACCACCAGTGGGTGGCCCCGGCTGTGGCCACCGCCAAGCTGCACGCTGACTACCAGTCCCCTGTCTACTTTTATACCTTCTACCACCACTGCCAGGCTGAGGGCCGGCCCGAGTGGGCAGACGCGGCGCACGGGGACGAGCTGCCCTACGTCTTTGGCGTGCCCATGGTGGGCGCCACCGACCTCTTCCCCTGCAACTTCTCCAAGAATGACGTCATGCTCAGCGCTGTGGTCATGACCTACTGGACCAACTTCGCCAAGACTGGGTGAGGGTCAGCGGGGCTGGGTGGGGTCCCCCCCCTGCAGGCCAAGGCACACACCCCCAGCATCCTCGGCGCCCTGTCCCTCACTCCTCCCACGGTCATTCCTCCATCATTGCCTGCCCGACCCAGACACCTGCTGGACGCTTTCTCTGTGCCAGGCACCGGGCTGCCCGTTGGAGATTCAGCCGTGTCAGAGAGGGTCCTGTTCTTCCGGGGGGTGGGCTCCCTTGGTGGCTTTGGCTCCGGGTCTGTCTCTCCTGGCACTCTGCTCTCCGTCTGATGCCCTGGGCTGTGTATCTGGGTAAGGATTTGTGTCTGTCTGTCTCTGCCTCTACGTCTCTCTCTCTTCGAATCCACTGATACCTCTGCCTTTTCCTCTACTCTCTTCCATCGGTTGGATTTTTGCTCGCTGGTCTCACCCCGGCTGGCTGGCTCCTGTCTTTGTGCCTCTGTTCCTAAATGTGTCTGTCTCACTCAGGCTCAGGTTCTGCCTCTCTCACCGGCTGTCTCCGCCCACCCCTGCCGCTGTGTCCTCACTTCCTCCCGTCTCTGCCCCTCCGACCTCACCTCCGCCCGTCTCTGCCCCTC